GTCTTGATTAAACCAATCTTACTCCTGATATTGCCAATCAATTCCTCTACTCACCTTGATTCGGTTATTCCGCCAGTGGATTTGTCCATGCTGGGATGGCGGGGGAAAAGGATGGAGTGAGAGGATTGGCGGGGAAATAATGAATAGGTGAATGGGGGGGGGAGATTGGGGGTGTTGGGGGAGATTGGGGGGTGTTGGGGGAGATTGGTTGTGGTGGCGGAGGATGAAGTGGATGTTCTTAGTTGTGATTTGAAGAATGGAGTTTTCACCTTCCTGTCTCCGCTAGTCTTATCGTCCCTATTCTTACTGGTTATCCTCCACTCCTATTCTTGTTGATTATTGCTTTTGTTTGCTTGCTTTATCACTTGTTTTTGTTACGTCAGATCCCTGTATTTGTGACCCCTGTGTTGGACTTTTATTTACCTGTATTTGTGACCCCTGTGTTGGACTTTTATTTACCTGTATTTGTGACCCCTGTGTTGGACTTTTATTTACCTGTATTTGTGACCCCTGTGTTGGACTTTTATTTATCTGTTTACAAGTATAATGGGTTACTTTATTGAACATTTAGGGATATGAGAGAGACTATAAGAGCTGGGATACGAGGACAGACTTAATACTGAGATATGTTGGTACCGAACCACTTGAACCATCGGGAATCGAACACCATCATACACCATACACCACACTACACTTTCACCACACACCACACCTTTCTTCCAAGCTCTCCCCCCCCCCCCTACTCCTCCCACCTGGCCAAACTGATTTACAAGACGCCAGGCTAATTAAAAAAGCCTCCAGGTGGGCCCTTTACCATATAACTTAACCCGTCAAGTGTATTCTCAACTGTTAAAAAGTTCACACAATATTAGTTTATATTTCCATGGGCAAAATTTGTATAGAACTTTGGAATTAGTTAAGAGGACTTTGATGTTCAGGGCAAACTTAAATATTTTATACCTCTTATTATATATTTATATTTATATAAATATATATTATAATTATATTATATTTTATAATATAAATATATGTTATATTTATACCTCTTATTTTATATTTATATAAATATATATTATATATTATATTTATACATCTTATTTTATATAAAACTTATTTTATACCTTACGTGAACATGTTAAGATCTCAAAAAAAATCTCAAATTTCAATGATAGTCCATTAACAACCTTATTTTTTGTGCAAGTGAATAACTATTCATTAATGGTTGTATATAGTTAAATGAAATTACTTACAGTAACTATTTGGTGGAAAGATACCAATACTCTTCTAAAGGTATTTGGAAGCCGGTCGGCCGAGCGGACAGCACACTGGACTTGTGATCCTGTGGTCCCGGCTTCGATCCCGGGCGCCGGCGAGAAACAATGGGCAGAGTTTCTTTCACCCTATGCCCCTGTTACCTAGCAGTAAAATAGGTACCTGGGTGTTAGTCAGCTGTCACGGGCTGCTTCCTGGGGGTGGAGGCCTGGTCGAGGACCGGGCCGCGGGGACACAAAAGCCCCGAAATCATCTCAAGATAACCATCTCAAGATAAGGTACTCTTCCTCTCCAAGAGTCTCCTCACCCCCCCCCCCCCCCACCACACCCCAACTCAAGATCGAAACGTTGTTGTTTTAGATTTATCTACTCAGAACGAAGTGTCCATGTAGCACGGGCTATGGGAGGATAAGGGTAAATCCTCTTCCTCAATCCTTATCCCTTATCCTATCCTTCCTTATCCTCTTCCTGAGGATAAAACTGTAAAAAAATAAAGTTTTGACAAACCGTGACAACGACTTCATTTGGCGCCAATTCACCGTGTAGAGAAGGTCGACTGTCCGGCTCATGAATGGCACACTAAGGGCCAATCTCCTGGAGGCGTCAGTGGCACTGTGCCACTCTGGTACTGCCTCTCACCCCCGGTAAGTGCCCAAGGAGGCGGTGTGTGTGTGTGACCCGTGACAACTGGAACCTCTTGTATAGCTCGACTCCGGGTCTCAAAGACACTTGATATCATCATCTATAACACGCTGCGTTTTTCTCAGTAACTGCTGTTGGGTACGTGCCCAGCATGTTTGGGTCGCGATTGACATTAGAGAAAAGAGTGTGACATGATAGAGAACTAAACTTACCTTCCACGATATATCTCGTGGTACCATTATGACTCGCCTCTGAATTATTATTTAATTTGCCATATCGTAAAACATTTTTTGGCACTGATCACGCCAAAATTGTCAAAATAATTCTACCTATTATACTTTAGCCATGATGGGAAAAAATGATTGATAAAGTAGACATAAAACAATGTTCAAATTTAAGAACAGTAGAACAGAAGAACATAGTTGGAAACTGGAAATACAGACGAGTCACAGATTAAAAATAACTGTTTCAGTCTGAGTTGTTAATAAGTGAAATGGGACTATATGAGGAGGTTGTCGAAGCCAATGGAACGCAGTTTTAAATATACATAAGTTAAAACGAGTAAGTACAACTAGATAAGCACACACACACACACACACACACACACACACACACACACACACACACACACACACACGAACAAGGGGACACAGGTGGAAACTGAGTACCCACATGAGCCACAGGGACGTTAGAAGGAACTTTTTCAGTGTCAGAGTAGTTAACAGGTGGAATGCATTAGGCAGTGATGTGGTGGAGGCTGACTCCATACACAGTTTCAAATGTAGATATGATAGAGCCCAGTAGGCTCAGGAATCTGTACACCAGTTGATTGACAGTTGAGAGGCGGGACCAAAGAGCCAAAGCTCAACCCCCGCAAGCACAAATAGGTGAGTACACACACACGCGCGCGCATTCCTATGTGCTTACATATAGAATTCATTTTTATCAGACAATATGAAGAGAAAATTGCAGATCAAATCGATATGGATGTGACTGTGGAACATTAGTCGCTTACATATAGAAGAATTCACACATATACGCACATGAAAAGCAAATTTTCAAGAAACTTTGTCAACATTTCAAGGAAGTCGCCAGAACCAAGATGGAAAGAAGTTCAAATCTGGGTGTGATAGCACACATTTAAATAAGAAAGAAGGGGATAATAAGGTTACTGATAAAGCTGGACATATCAAAAAATGAGATATGGCAGGATATCACCCTAGGTGTTGAAGAAGTGAACTGAAGAACAAAGCAAGCCACTTGTCCGAATAAAGTATAAGTCGTTAGAGAGAGAACAATGAACAGACAGCAAGAAGATAGTGAATATCATCTCCAACACATAGTATCTCCTGGAGGGTGATACATAAATGAGTTAGAGATACATAAAAAAAAACTTTCTCAGTATCTTTGAGGAGGAGAAATGGAGAAGTGATACGGAAGGAAGACCCCCCTTATAACAACTATTCAAAAGCTTCAGAGGCGGACCCAGGAGCTTGAGCTTAACCTCACCAACCCAGCTAGATGCAGCCTCCATAAACGCTTCGTACAACGCTCCTTGGGAAACCACAGGTGACGTATCGTACACTTTTTTGTATGTTGACGAATTTGCTCTTTTTCCCCCAAACTTTGTCGAAGGTCCATCACGGCGTCACATCCACTGTAACAACGCATCTAAACTTACACCAAGCTGCTGTTGTTGTTGTTTAAGATTTGCTACTTGGAACAAAAAGTTCCAAGCAGCACGGGCTATGGTGAGCCCGTAGAACTGCGCATGTCTCTCTCTCCCTTGCCTCCTACTGCCACCTTGACGCATAATAATAATTATCATGCAGAATAATATCACAATAACGTAGTGTATCAATGAGAAAATCAGTAGGAATAATGAGGATTCGAACCGGGACATTTGGTATTCCCAAGCACATGCCCTAGACCACTTCACCATATCATGGTCAAAAGCATTGTAACCTGGGATTCAGCTGAAGCCACTAGGGGAGGTTCCTGAGGCTGACACTAAAGCCTAATCAGGATTTTTGTAAATTTGACGCGATAATTGAAGCAGTTTGTCTGTCATTGCGTCTTGCGTGAGAACTTGTCCAAAACATTTGTGGTTCACCGAGATACATATCTATCTATTGTGTCCCTGAACCCAAGTTCGATCCCACATCACTGCCCCCATTATTTGTATCATACCTTCATCCCTTTATTGCTCATGTATCCCATTATTTGTATTCATTTATTGACGAACGTATTGCAAATGCATTCATTTATCAACAGCGAGTTATTTCGTTTTAAAACGAAGGAAAAATTGCGATATGTTTAACCCTACATATAATTTTTTGGGGGTTGGTTTCTGACCAAAATCGTTTTTATATGCGCTTCGTTGTTCACATACGACAGGCTGAGGTGAATGCAATGAGACGGATTAGCAGCTCATCCTACCTATGCGAACGGTTCCAATCTAAAAAAAAATAAAAATACATTTATCTATCATAGCGAAAGAGAAATGAAAAGGTAAATATTTCTTTTATATTCACTATATGTTTTGTTTCAAGTTGTACGAGGCTAAAATTTGGTTTCAGTTTATTTTGATTGATGAAGGTATTTTGTGAACATTATATAATAATAGATCAGTCTACGCTTACTATTTTATGTTTGTAACTTATCTTCTATGTACCGTACTTTTACCCGAATAATAATTTGAATTTTGAATTTGAATTTGCTTGTAACGTTGTTTGGCGCTCGAATTCAAATTCAAAAATTTGAATTTTGAATTTGAATTTGCTTATAACGTTGTTTAACGTTAGAATTACCTGGTGCATCGTATTTTTAACGCATTCGAGAAAACCCTAAATAGAAACCCCGAATATCAACATTATTCTAACACCTGGCTCCATAGGCTATAGGAAGGTTGCTTAGATTCGAATGTTCCTAGCTAGGCAAAGAGTTCATTTTTATTGTTTACAGAGGGGGTAACTGGGGGGGGGGTTAAGATGTCCTTCTGTACTCACCTAGTTGTGCTTGCGGGGGTTGAGCTTTGGTTCTTTGGTCCCGCCTCTGCTGTGTGCCGAGAATCATTTAGAAACAGTCTACGGTTCACTCAGGGAGCAAGACTGCATAATGTTCTTCAAGATACCAGTCTTTGAGTGTACATACCCGCCCATTCCACCTGCATATTCACTCACACTCACCCACTCCACCCCATATTCACTCATACTCACCCACTCCACCCCATATTCACTCATACTCACCCCATATTCACTCATACTCACCCACTCCACCCCATATTCACTCATACTCACCCACTCCACCCCATATTCACTCATACTCACCCCATATTCACTCATACTCACCCACTCCACCCCATATTCACTCATACTCGCCCACTCCACCCCATATTCACTCATACTCGCCCCATATTCACTCATACTCACCCACTCCACCCCATATTCACTCATACTCACCCACTCCACCCCATATTCACTCATACTCACCCCATATTCACTCATACTCACCCACTCCACCCCATATTCACTCATACTCACCCACTCCACCCCATATTCACTCATACTCACCCCATATTCACTCATACTCACCCACTCCACCCCATATTCACTCATACTCGCCCACTCCACCCCATATTCACTCATACTCACCCCATATTCACTCATACTCACCCACTCCACCCCATATTCACTCATACTCGCCCACTCCACCCCATATTCACTCATACTCGCCCACTCCACCCCATATTCACTCATACTCACCCACTCCACCCCATATTCACTCATACTCACCCACTCCACCCCATATTCACTCATACTCACCCACTCCACCCCATATTCACTCATACTCACCCACTCCACCCCATATTCACTCATACTCACCCACTCCACCCCATATTCACTCATACTCACCCACTCCACCCCATATTCACTCATACTCACCCACTCCACCCCATATCATCCGGAGTATTTCACATGTCATATATAGGGGCCCCGGAAGGCTCCGTTGCTGGGTGCCCCGCTCCTGTGCCAGGTAAGTCCAATACGGGCTCACCATAGCCCGTGCTACTTGCCCCGCTCCTATGCCAGGTAAGTTACGGGCTCACCATAGCCCGTGTGTATGTTACTGATGTTCTGATAATGTGTTTTCTGGCGGCAGATTTGGAGTTTGTTGCATTTCCAGCTATATCTCGTTTCTTGTTGCATTACTTTTATTTTCACTTCATGCTATATTACTGTACTGGTCTTCTCATTCTGCGTTTTCTCATAACTTTGCATTTAGGTGGAGTTAAGTTCGAGCATCCATTTTTGTCTGACCACCTCTAGAGTACGTACTTAGTACGCGCGTGTGTGTGTGTACTCACCTATTTGTGCTTGCGAGGGTTGAGCTTTGGCTCTTTGGTCCCGCCTCTTAACCGTCAATCAACAGGTGTACAGATTCCTGAGCCTACTGGGCTGTGTGTGTGTATGTGTGTGTGTGTGTGTGTGTGTGTGTGTGTGCGTGCGTGTGCGTGTGCGTGTGCGTGTGCGTGTGCGTGTGTGTGTGTGTGTGTGAACTTTGATCTAGGTCTCACAACTATTAATATTAACAAGGCAGGAGAGTCAATTCCAATTTTTTTCGTCAGTAATTACTGTGACTGGCGGCGGTGGTCCGCCTCCGCCCACCAGATGGCGCTGGTAAGGAAGACATTATTCCGTAGCTTTGTTTACACAGATTAGCTTTTGTGACTCCTGTTATGTGTCCTTTTAAGTATGTTTTGGAGGTCATTGTTTTGGTATGTTTGGGTGAGTGTGAGTACGTATGGGTGGGTGTGGGTTGACGTGGGTGAGTGTGAGTACGTGTGGGTGGGTATACACTCAGAGGCTTATGCATATAAACATTCCCATACATATAGTCTCGAGTTCACTTCAAGTGCATCATAACTGGAACATGGCAGAAAGCAACAAGCAAAATGTCGAAGCAGTTCAATGGGATCGAACACGCGTTCCCTGGACTGGACTTGCTCCACTTCCGCTGGGGGTTGATCCGGCGCTTGCTGCAGGATCTTTTCTAACCAAAGTCACAGCCAAGTGTCCTCAGGGGTAGGTATAGTGCACTTCAGTCCCCCCACCCCCGATTGATTGATTGATGAAGATTAAGCCACCCGAAAGGTGGCACGGGCATGAATAGCCCGTAAGTGGTGGCCCTTTTGAGCCATTACCAGTATCAAGAGCTGATACTGGAGATCTGTGGAGGTGCGACTGCACCCTGCGTGACGGGAGATGTCTCCCATGAGTCCCCCCCCCCCCCGACAAGCAACGGTTCTTGTAGGGGAAATGGGAGACGTGCCGGAGAACACAATTCCACACCACCAGTCTCCTTATTAATTCCTCACAACAATTCACTCATTAATTACCCCACTATTAATTCCCAAATATAATAACTACAGTTACCGCGTTTCCTTTCGCCATTTAATTGAGTTCTGAACCAAACATAACATAACAAATCAGCCAATCATCATTATGCAGCGCACAGAGCGTCGACGAATCAGCAGTTAGCGCGGGAATTTCGGCAGCCAATTAGAGAAGAGACGAGCTAAGAAGGCGGGATACGCAACCCGTCCTCGACTCAAGTCCAATACATCCAGCGGTCGACCACACAGACGCATTCATCAATTTTAACATGCTGTTCATTCAAAACAGAAATGGTAAATATAAATTAATATTATAATATATTAGCATATTGAGCATTTATAGGCATAGGTTAGGTTAGGTGTTTAGGTTCTGTTGGAGATTATTTGTATTTGTAGTACGTGGGTGAAGCATTTACAGCGTTGTGGTTCGAACACAATTCGTCAGTGAGGCACTTGTTCTGGAAGTGTTCGAACGAAATCAGTTGTGAGTCGTGTGTAAACAGTTTCTCATTTATAAACAAGGGGTTTGGCGGGTGCATGGAATCACTTTTGAGTCTTTGTTTGGAGGACGGGCTGGGATACGAATAGACTCAAGCGCTGTACGAGAGCTTCCGTCTCGTACACAGCCTGGCCTCATCAACAGTGGTCAAATACTCATTAACCCATCCACCGAATCCTATAGGTTAAGGATGAATAAAGCTGTCAAAATGTGTTTAAATCAAATCAAATCAAATGTTTATTTAGGTAAGGTACATACATACAAGAGATTTTATAAAGAGTGATGGATTTATAGATAGGGCTAGTACATACAATGCCTAAAGCCACTATTACGCAAAGCGTTTCGGGCATAAAGCTATATCAAAGTGAATAAGTCTTGTCTAAAAAGCGTATGATGCTATATGAGATATATATAAATGCTTAAAGATGTATAGAACTGTTTAAATGTGTGTATAACCATGTAATGATATATACATTTATTTAAAGCTGTATGGCGCTTTATAAAGGTGTATAATGCTGTGTGAGTTATATAAAGCTGTTAAGATGTTGTTGTTGTTTAAGATTCACTACCTGGAACAAAAATGTTCCAAGTAGCACGGGCTATGGTGAGCCCGCAGTTATAAATAAATAAATAAATAAATGTTTATTTAGGTAAGGTACATACATAAAGAGATTTTACAAAGTTTGTTGGATTAATAGATAGAGCTAGTACATACAATGCCTAAAGCCACTATTACGCAAAGCGTTTCGGGCAGGAAAAACATTAATGACTAAAGCTTAATACTAATGGGTAAAAAGAATAAAATGTGTTGAGAACAAATAAAAATAGAGGTAAAAGAGGGGGGAACATGGCTGAAAAAGCAGCACATATACAATTACAAATTATTACAGACACATTCAAACAGCGTTGTTTTGGAAAAAAAACATACATGGGTTGACAATAGGGGGCTAAGGTAGGTTACAGGGAATTTATTAGGTAGTGCTTCGTTTTTATCTTAAACTGGTTGAGAGAGGTACAGTCTTTAACATGGTTGGGAAGGTCATTCCACATTCTGGGTACCTTGATTTGAAGAGCATTTCTAGTTTGATTAAGTCGTACTCTAGGAATATCAAAACTGTATTTATTTCTGGTGTGGTGCTCATGGGTTCTGTTACAACCTTCAATAAATCTTTTGAGGTCAGGATTGGCATTACAGTTCAGCGTTTTATATATGTATAATACACATGAGAGAATGTGCAGTGACTTAATATCTAACATATTCAGAGATTTGAGTAGGGGTACCGAGTGATGTCTGGGGCTAGAGTTGGATATTGTCCTAATAGCAGCTTTGTGTTGAGTAATTAGAGGACGTAAATGATTTTGGGTAGTAGAACCCCAAGCACAAATACCATAGTTGAGATATGGATAGATGAGGGAGTAATAGAGAGTCACCAGGGCAGGGCGTGGTACATAATATCTGATCTTAGAAAGAATGCCAACAGTTTTTGAATTTTTTTTTATATATTTAGAATGTGTCCCTGGAAATTCAGCTTGTGGTCGATGAGAACGCCATGGAATTTGCCATCTAATTTGTTACAAATTTGGGTATTGTTTATTTTGAGATTTATTTGATTGGAGGATTTATTGCCAAACAGAATATAGAACGTTTTGTCAATGTTAAGGGTGAGTTTATTGGCAGTTAGCCAAAGATGGACTTTCTCTAGCTCAGTATTTACTGTGACATTTAGAGCAAGGGGGTCAGGACTGGAGTAAATGAAGGTTGTGTCGTCAGCAAATAGAATTGGTTTGAGGTGTTGGGAGGCATTTGGAAGGTCATTAATGTAGATGAGAAAGAGGAGAGGGCCAAGTATGCTGCCCTGAGGAACACCAATGTTGATGGGTAGGGTGGGAGAAATTGTATTATTCACAGAAACATACTGGAGCCTGTCAGTAAGATAAGATTTGAGGTATTGTAGGGAGTGTCCTCTGACTCCATAATGATGTAATTTAAGAAGAAGGTTTTGGTGGTTGACAGTGTCAAAAGCCTTACGCAGGTCCACAAATAACCCAACAGGGAACTCCTTTTTATCAAGAGCTGCGTGAATCAAGTTAATCATACTAATAAGTGCATCGTTAGTGCTTTTTTGGGTCTGAAGCCATATTGACAAGAGCTAAGTATATTGTGTTTGGCTAGAAAAGAGTAAAGCTGCTTGTAGATTAGCTTTTCGAATATTTTTGACAAGTTAGGCAGGATTGATATAGGTCTGTAGTTGTTAACATCTGTGAGATCACCACATTTGTGGACAGGGGTTACTCTCGCTTTTTTTAGAATGTCTGGAAAGGTTTGGAGTTCAAGTGACTTGTTGAAGAGCAATGCAATAGCAGGGGCTAAAGATCTGGAGGCTTTTTTGTAAATTAAAGTTGGTATCTCCTCAAGGGCACTAGACTTGGTTTTAAGGGAAAGGATTATCTCATTGACATCAGTGGAATTAGTAGGCTTTAGGTACAGAGACTGTGGATAGTTACCTGTAACATAGTCCTTAACATCAGTACTGGAAGATGGAATATCATTTGCAAGGGATGACCCAATGGAAGAGAAGAACCTATTGAACTCAATAGCAGAATCAGAGGCTGAAAGCTGACCAACGTAGGACAGGAGTGTTGGTTTGTTATTTAAAATCTTCTTTGATCCCAATATTAGTGAAATTGTGCTCCAAGTTTTTTTAATGTTGCTCTTTATTTGGGTAAATTTATCTTCATAGTATTTAGTTTTGGCTCGTCTAATTATTTTAGATAGCAATAACGAGTAATTCTTTGAGAATTCTTTGGAGACGGTTCCTAACCTATACTTCTTCTCAAGGTCGTGTTTTTTGTTAATGGATTTAAGTATTCCCTTTGTAAGCCAAGGATTGTTAAGCCTTTTGTTTGTGACTTGTTTTGTAAGCATAGGACAGTGGGTGTTATAAAGGCTAAGAGTTGTTTGTAGAAAAGATTGCACTGCTAGGTTGATGTCCCCTATGTTACCTAACTCGGACTCCCAGTTGACATTATCAGCAGCAGTTATA